AATCTGTTTAGTTAAACCCCCGTCGTGGGGCATTTTTTTCCAGAAAAGGTTGGTAATTATTGATTGCTGGGTTAATGGCAATGGTGGGTTAAGCAAACTTATCTGTAGTAAGTGGTCTAACTCATGAAATCGAAGGATTTTTACAAGTAACACCCTGTTACTCAAACGCAGCCCAAGCTGTGGCCCCTAAAGCCTTAACGCAATCGAGCAATGGGGCAATAAAGCGTAATAAAGCAATAAAGCGCACATTACGACTTATCAAGGAATTTTACGTTTTTTAGAAATATCAGCTTTTTGCAAAAGGTAAAATTCCGAAAAAGTGAGGATCGGGGGTACTAGGCACACTCAAGGTTTAACTATAGAGTAAGTTTGTTCATGCAAAACCAGCGAATAAATAAAATAGCACAAATAGAATTACGTTGAAAAATAATCGTTTTGTTAATTGTCCATTTACATAGGCTTTCACATTACGTGCAATGTAATGTATGGGTGTTACCGAACAGCCCAAATTTCAAGTATGTATTCCAACACCTTTTCACGAAAACTACGAGCTGTTTCCTTCGTTTATACATTGCTTGGGTTGCGGTGGACTAGGCCAATCATAATTTCGCTTGATTTTTGCCGAGTGGGAGGTCATAGAAATAAGATATTTCGTAAACTCATTTGTGGACATGCCGGTCAGTGACTAATAAACTTTAATGGGACTATCAGATGCAATTATAGATGTACCATTTTTACACTAAGAGAAATTTCCTTCTGGCACATTTCTTTGTAATTATCCTGGGATTTTGATTACTAAGAGATTAAAACCTTCCTTGAAATGGTAAAGAACACTTTACCAGTTTCACTGGCTTCATCGCTTGACCATAAATAATGATGATATCCTACGTGCTTACCAAAACCATTAAAATAAGAGATTTCTTAAAATTATTAATCTAAATAGCGAGCTTTAAAGTATAATTTCTTGTTCAGTTCTCTGTTTGGGTCACTGTTTTAGAATGAACCAAAAAAGTCAACTCATTGCCGAGTAAAATGAACGTCCACAACAAAAGTCACGAATGAATATGCCTAAGATTGATTTAAAAAAGTTTTTATCAAGTTACCTCTTGTAAATGCGCTTTAATTATATATTATGGCGTCGAATGCCTGCATACTTTATTCTTTTTGAAGATTAAGTCAAGATCAATTTTTCGCAACTTTTGACATTTTGCATTAAATACTGGCCATACTGTTGACATTTAATATGTAAATATTTTAATGTTCGTTACCTTTCCATAGTTCTAAAGAATCATTCACAGTAAAATAAATGCAATCGCTACATACAAAATAAGTATTCTCTACCTACCATCGTTTGCGTGTTATAGGTTTTTGGGGGTTATGGGATCCTGTGGGAACATTTATAAGTAATCCTTATCCAAAGTTCTTCAAATAACTACACGATCATATCTGCAAGATGGTTCACTGAAAATTCTTAGATCCTCTAACGTTAACTACCCCGGTTAAGTCTTATTTTTCTACGGCTCGCGTTTCTAACTGAAAACTACTTGACTCATATTTGCCATGCATTCAGCTCTGGCGATAGACAATGCGTACATTTTTTCATTCCTGCCAGAAAATTAATCTTGTTCGGCTGGTGGCATATCCGAAAGAAAACTACCACCATAAATCTTCAAACTGCTTACCTACATGATGTTCCAGCAAAACAACTGCTCGCCAGAGTCCTTCAAACTGTCAAGGTGAGGCTCGAATCCAGGCACTGTAATAAATTGATAACGCCCTAAACCGTATGTCACAGGATTCTGTGAAATAAACACACAATTAGCAGTTCAGAGGAAGAAGATGCGATCACTGGAACAAGAGTTCCAGTGATCGCATCTTCTTCCTTTTGAGGCTGTTTTGTGTTACTTGTCTTTGATGGTGAATATCCAGTTTTGCCGGTTTCTCTCTACTACTTCGCAGAAAAGCATGATGACAAATATTTCCACTCAACTGTTACCATCACCCATCATTCTGCATTACCAGGTAAAATTTTACTTTTCTCTTGAGAGACCATCATTTCGTATTTTAATTCTGCCAGTGCTATCATCTTAGGCAAGCATCGTTCAACAAATTTTGCTTGAGGAAAAAGACCACAAGTACAACAATTTAACTCGCCTGACTTTTCCAATTCTCACTCGAACATCATCAGAGCTAGTCACAGATAAGAAGGATGGACATACGAGGGATGCCGTATTTATAAGATGTGGCTACCATAAAGTCGCACATCTGCTATAAAAACTGATCTTTGGATTTATAACAGATTGTCATATTCACTCTTGTGAATTGCTCCTTCTTGTCCTTCGTAGCACTATTGCCCTTATTATCTTTAGTGTTATTAGCCCTAAGTTACGCAGATAATTCCTTCGTTGTTATAAAATGCAGCAAAGTTGAAGGGTTACACCAGAGTCTTAACGATGTCCTTCCTGACATACAGTGCACTCGCGAAGAAGCAACGGGAGACATTCTCTCGTTTCTCGTCGTCAGCGTGTAAAAATTGGATGATGGTAATCGCACAACCACGGTCCACGTAAAAGTTTCCAGTGCCAACATTATCCTCAACTAGGGAAGTAACCATCCTGCAGCCCACAAAAGAAGCTGTGTTCCAACTCTTTCCTCACGCCTATCGGTACTGCAGCAGTAAGTATCTACTGAAGCTAACTCTTATCTACTTATATAAATTGTTCCGGTCTAACGGATGCCCGAGAAATTTCGTGAAGAACGGCCTGCGACGTCAAGGTTCGAGCACACTCGTCCAAACCCAAGTGTGGCAGAAATTTCAGCGGCAACACTGGAGTTAGGTATCACTAGCTAACGACGACTAATGAGACAGAAATGTCCATCCTAGTGTCCCCGTCTTTGTTGGTAATGCCTAAAAATAAAACAAAATGTTATTTAATCCTAGTAAGTCTCTGTAAGAAATGTTCATCCGCCTAAACTACTAGCAACTGTGTTGCTGTTGGTAGCGCTCGAAAGTGAGCACCAAAACAGATTGGGATAGGGTGATTTGCGTCAGCAATCGGTGAAAGTTCATCAGGGAGTGTCAGTCTCTCGTGATGTAAACCGACATAACAACCAGCTCGTGGTTCAATGGCTAAGGCGTTACACTCTGAGCAAAAGGTCGCGATTTCGAGCTTCAACTGTTGCACCACTTGGGGCTGGGTATGACTGGCCGAAAAAGGCTAATACGACAGACTCCGGTCTTTCCCTAGTCTTTGCCGGTAATACTAGCCGCTGTACGGCTGCTTTTAGGGCCCAAGAATGAGACTCAAGGCAGAGCGGAACCAGCCAGTTCCGTTAGCAGTGGCTAAACGTTCATCAACGAATGTGATGATTACTCGCGCATTCAGCTTGATTAAATTATCAGTGGCGGCGGCTTTTTGCCCGCGCAATCCATGTGTTAACAACTGCTCTCCTCCGGTAACGTCTCAGTACCGAATATGGGGGCGGGAGTTCATTGTGATTGTTGGTAGACTGCGGGCCGATAAACCATGACTAAAGCAGTTCGCGGCTCGTGGGGTTCTAATATTTACATATTTATCTATTTATTGCCAGTTACAGTCAAGGTCAAAACAATGTTAATTAGCAAAGCACCTCTTGGGCACCTTCTAAACCCTGGAAGACAAGAAAAAAAACGCAAAGCAAACTCCCTCTTTTGTAGCCCATATTGGCTTTGTTTCAGTTTTTTGATTGGTTAATAGTGGGCGAAATAGAGAGTTGGTTTTAAATGAAAAAGCCTGACTTCGAAGGTACGGTACTAGCAAAAGATATGTACAGTAATAGATCGACTTAACAGTTTAGCTGAATAAACTGCAGCTCCTTGAGTGACTGAAGTTCGGGACGGGGGAGGGTTGACACAGGAACACAGTGTTTGCAGTCTCCCCTGAGTGTAATGGCTTCGAGATTCTGCGCCAGAGGAATGTGTGTCGGCGAACGGTTGATCGCTGTCGGCTGATCAATTAGCCGATTGCGGGCTGCAATTTTAGCACCATTGTCCTCAGCATGATGCCTGGCAGGGTTTAAAATCTACGAACGCCAGCAGAGTGGAAGAGAACACCCAAAATTCGTGAAAGTTGTCCTGAATGTAGAAAACTAGTGATAGCTTTGCTGAGTTTTAATAATGCTGGGTAGCTTATTCCAGATTGCTATGGCATATACTGAAAACACGTGGCGGTATCTAACTGTGCGTGTGATAGAGAGGAATAAAAAGACATCTCGATGACTGGCGCGCCGAGAGTGGTCGAGCTGCCTGAGGGTACTGAGGTGATTAAAGGTACGGCCATTTAAAAACTTAAACAGTAAGAATACTTCCTTCTGTAATCTGCGAAGTTACAAGGCCTCAAGGTAAATAAGTTCACAGCGTTACTTGTAGGACAGGTTACGGTCTTCTGAAGAAAAAACTGTTTTAGTGAAGAAATGCTGGAACGATTCTATTTTCTTCCGTTCAGTAGCGCGCAAGAGGCTAAATAGGGGCGAACAGTATTCGAGATCAGGCCTTATAAAGGCTATTTCTAACCTTGATGGTCTTAAAATTTCTAAAAATAAATCCGCTTGTTTGTTTGGAAATTTGTGAACATTTCTGTCTTTTCAAACTGGAATGCGGGATTGAGTTCCACCAAATGAGCCACGATTTGGTGTCATTCCCTTTCACTGTTATCTCGTACACGGCTAATCGCATTCAATGTTCTTTTCCAGTTTCTCCGTCGTAGATGATTTGTCCAAAACTGCGCCAGATGTTACAAAATATTCAAAATTTTCTTCGCCAGCACACCTGATCTCTTGCTCCCTCTCTTTTCCATACAACTGAAACTTGCAGAAAGAGTTGCCCTAGATGCAATCACGCAGTTCACCTCCGATTTTTCAGATCTCCTGCAATTTGCGCATCTTATCAAGATGCCCTTCATGGGATCTGAGATTCCAGACGACTGGCGTTTAGTAATAATCACTCCCATCCCCACAAACCTCTAGTTTTGATCGCAGGTCATTGGCCCAACTTCCTGCTCTTCCTTACCACTAAAATTTGGGGAACGAGTTTCCAGTTCCAGCTCTCCAGTTTTTCCGACGTCCTGCAATTTGCATATAAGGCCAGACATAGTACCATATACGTTGTTGTTCTTCTGGTCCATTCTGCTCGAAAAGAGATTTAGACAAGGATTGCATGTGCATTTCTTGACTACTCTTCCGCCTTTTATGCTATCCCACGCCATCTCCTCATCAAAGAAACGTCTGCATGCGGCTCTTCCGACTGCGATGTCAAGTGGCTTGGGAACTATTTCACCCACCGCACTCATTTCGTCCAATGCGGCAAGCAAACATTCACGGTTCTTCTTAAGAACTGCGAAGTTCTTCAAGGGTCTATCTTAACCCCTCACTTTCTCTCCCTCTGCACTGACGACCTACGATCGTCAAATGACTGTTTGCATGTAAACTATGCTGACGATACGGCTACCGCTCCTCCTCTTAAAAGTCACATACAACTGCAAGTACTGAAAAATGGCCTGGATCACGTCTCAGCATGGTCATTAACTACCGGTCTTCTACTGAATAATCAGAAGACAATCCAGTGTGCATTCTGATCACGATCCTCTCCTAGTCCCAATGAAGTATACTCTTTCCGATACCTTGGTGTTATTCTGCCATCTAATCTTTTATTGTTCACAGTGAAACCCTCTTCATTTAAATTCGTAAAATTCCATATTTTATCCCTCGGGTACGTTCACATCACACACCTCAAGTCCTAGTCTGGTGATTTATAGATGTCTGCATCCTCCCCCACCATCCTCTACTGCTCCCCGACTATTTCCCAGCCTTGCATAAAGAGAGACTTTTTTGATTGTTGAATGTATCCTCCGAATGCTCTCTACAGCTGCCGTTTTTTCTTATGTTTTTTTAGCTGATATTACAGGGACACTTTACAACGGTGAAGCCCATTGCCTATCACCTTCTTGGTGAGGTTGTCCATACATTCCAACCCAAATTAATGGCTGCGACGTCTTCTATGTGCCGGAACTTCAAACATATTTTCTGCCGTGCATAGGCAGACAAACAATAGAATTGGATATACGAGTTCCAGGAAGCAGTTCACACCAAGAAAATGCGGTCACTGGAACAAGTATTTTATTTTCCTGATGTTTCGGATGCTGTCAAGAATCCTTAATCATAGGTAGCCGTAGGATAGTGCGAAACATGCGCAGATAGGAGTGCAACAC